TTTTTTTTTTTTTTTTTTTTACCTTTGCCTTATGGAAATTAGATTTGGAAAGGCGAACCCATGTGCCTAGGTTCACTGGGTTTGTCGCGATTCCAAGCATGGGGTTCATTGTGAACCCAGGCAACAAAAGATTAACTATAGAAGGGATGGTGTTTAGATTGACAAGGTCGGGGTATAGCTCGAGGGCTTTAGTGAGGATCTTGAGCTTTCGGAGGTTGTCATGGAGGTCTACCTCGGAGTTCGCAAAGTGCTCCAACTGGTTTTGGTACTTGACGCAAGCCTTGATGTTCTTTCTAAATCGACGCTTGAAGGAGAAGACTAGTTTTTTGAGGGTGCAGATGTCCAGCACATCGATGGTGCTCTGAGATTTCTTAATGGCTTCGAAGAGAGAAAGGTCGTTGTCACCGACGAGTGCGATGGAGCTGTCCCGCTTGTGTTTCTTAGGGTTTGCGACTTCCATGGTGTTCAGAATGGAGATTGAGCCTCTAGATCCAGCCTTCTACAAGGAATTTCAAAGATCGAAGGAACACCCTACGACATTGCATTCACCCACCACTCCTTTCCTCCTCAAGCGTTGCTCTAGTCATTTCCTCACTCCATTGCCTTTCATGTCTATTTGAAATTGGGGATGGGTTTGAAAAGGTTTTAGAGCGATTTGGCCAGGTTTTTTATTCCACCCTACTTTCTTATTGTTATTGCTCAACAAAAATCAAACTTCATTGATAGAATGGAAATGGCAACCTGATGTGGTGAATTTGTGCTGCTTTGTCTGTGCCTCGGCCGTGCGAAAAGGATCCAGATGTTGCCATGGCAATCAATGTGCCTTCTTTTCTTGTCAATTGGTTATCCATATTTATCGAGTCTAATGATACCCTTCTTAATTGACAGATCTGGGTATGTATATGGCTGTTGTAAGCCCACAAAGAAGAGAGTAGGAAAAGTGCTGAATCAATTGAAAGTAGAGATGAGTGATTAGAACCCAACCAAAACTTTAAATCAAGGGGGAGAATTCCATTTTATAAACTCTAAATACTCATATTAATAATAGATGGATGGCTAGAGCAAGGTGTGATGAACCCAGCGCTTGGATTTGCGACGAACCTAGCGTGAAGACTCTTGGTTTCGCCTTTCCAGATTTGATTTGGCAAAGGTAAAAAGAAAAAATGAAGGTTGGAGGAAGGAGAGAATAAGATAGAATGAGGAAGAAGACGGGGGAAAATAAGTAATTAAAATTAAGTACCTTTAATCACAAAATAATCTTTAAAATATTTGTAATGGCAATTATGTAAGAAATTTGGCCATGTCATCAAATTTTGCCAGATGGATTTTCCACACAATTTAAGTAAAGAAAAAAAAAGGTTTTTTGTTAATTAACATGTTATAACAGTCAAAATTTAACGGAGGGACCAAAAAGAGGCAGGATTTTGAACTTTAAGGATCAAAAAGGGTATTTAATCTTAAAATTATTAATTTATTATAATTATTAATTGGCTTTTTCATCCATGACTAAGATTTAAATTTATATAACTCCTCTTTTTTTTTTAATAGGGTAAATTACTTGTC